TAGATGATTTTAATGTAGTTACTAATCAGAAGTGAACCTGGACCAGTTAGGGGATTGGAACTGAAAATATAGGTCCCGCGCCGACCTAATTATTTAGCACTAACTAGTTTGGGTATGGAACCCGTTCGAAACTAGTCTGTCTTTAGCAGTATTTTATATGTAAACATGTTCATATTTTGTCAAATATTAATTTACAAGTCATTATTATACTTATAATGACTTCATTTCTAATGTAAGGGTGTGATTGATGATACATCAAACCTGAAGGGAGGTCAACCATAATTTCTCTTTACCTATTGTTTATTGTTTGCGCTTGCATTTCAACAAAAGTTAATGGGTACATAAAAAGCTAAAAGTTAAAGAACACTTTTGACTTTCTTTTGTATAAAAACGTGAAGTTTCATTTACAATAGAATTTTTAGAAATTGCCCTAAATAGGAGTAAAAACGCTTTGAAATTCCATAGGAGTATCATATTTTTTATTCTTTGAATAGGAGTAATCCGCCAAATATGGAAAAAATGCCATGTTTAAAAGCCTAGTAATGCCAAACTTGGCAGAAATTTACTCCAATTTAGGGAATAAAAAACATAATACTCCTATTTTGGAATTTCAAAACTTTTTTAATCCTATTTAAGGAATTTACTCTAGAACTTTTCACATGTATTTTCTTTTATTCTCTTCGAATTTATTATTTTATTTTCTATCACACTAAAAATATACCATAAACTCCATAAAGTACCTTTGTTTTTCTATGCTTTCTCATCACTTATTCACCTTTTTCCAACATAATTTAAGATCGCGTGGTAGAGAATTTAAAATTAGTCACCCGTTGGTTTTGTCCTGACATCTGTTTTCTCAATTAACAAAATATATGCACAGTAACCTTCTTTTTATGTTATTTAGTTATGAGAGGCTCTGACGATTTTTACTGCTAGGAGCGTGGGCTCTGTTTAGGCAAGAAATTGACAAGCTAAACTAAGATACAATTTGAGTAGGGAACTGCAAGAATTTAACCAAAGAATATAAATTAATATCGAACTGGTGAATTAAACTACGCATTGCTAGTCTATTTAAAATAATAATATATCTTCACTACGTGTGTTTAACTGCCAGGCGAGATATAATCACGGCGACTCAATCAGCAAAGCGGCGGTAGGCCTTATACACGTGTGCACCAGAGGTCCAGCCTTATTTCAGGTTCTGTAACCTCCACACGGCCGCTGCGGGTTTCGAACCTTGGTCACTTGATCCAATTTTCCCATCACTCGACCAACTGAGCTACCCGTGCGGGTGATATCAGCAATTCCTATTATTGTGGAAGTCGTTCCTCCTCTTTCTCCACTAGCCATGGGCACTCTTACCCGCTCTGCCTTATCATTAGTTCCTCCTCCAGGCCCAATTATCCGTGACCCAACAGGCTCCCATACAAAAATGGAATTAAACCCTTATTAGTTTAGGATATTCTTTTTATCAAGAAATCTTCGATTGTTATAGTAAAGAATAAACTATCAATTGGAATTAATTATGGAAAGAATGGCACGGTTATTACTTATGAGGTTTTAATAGACACAAATATGATCATTTTTAAAATTTACAGAAAACTGACCGTATATGTACGCTTCTTTCGCATCTACATCTATGTTTCTTCCGCATCCAATCTATGGGAACATTGATCGCAGCCTCATGGTCTACTCCATCCCCTCCATCATCGACCTTATAGCCGGAAACCGACGATTCTGGCGGCCGCCATCCGCTTTCGCTTCTCTGTCCGCGCTCTTCGTCGCCACCCTCCCTCTCTTGCGCCAATTTCTGTTTGGCTACAGTGGTCGCGGCTTGGTGTGACGGATTTGCGGTTTGGTGCGCCCAAAATCATTGAGCCCCTGAGCCGTATTCCTTTAGCCTAGAATTTGGCTACAGTGGCAGTCCTGGTGCGACGGATTTGCGTCAGAGGTTGAAGCTTTTAAGCGGTGGAAATGTTGGTTCAGTCGTGGCTGGGTTGATCAGGGGGCTGCAGAGTTGGGTTGAATTGGTCGGAGCAGGGATTGGTTGGCTTGAGTTGGGTTGGTCGGAGCAGGGATTGGGGAGGATTGAATCTGGGCCGTTTGGTTGGAGTTGAAGGTTGGGAGGTGGTCTGGGGCAGGTCAGGGAGGTATGGCTGGAGGGGGCTGGGGATGCGTAAGGGTTTTCCAATGCTTGGGCGTTGGGAAGGGGAGGGGCGGTGGAAGTAGGTGGTGTGTGGGGGAGACGCAGTGGGAATGGGAGGGTGGTGGTTGCCGGAATACACTGGTCGTTGCAATTGTGTGTCACTACGGAATTGTAACTGCAAAGACGTCATTGCGGCGGCGTCACTATGGCGGCGTCACTATGGCGGCGACGATCTCCGGCCGGAGACAGTCTCTGACAGGCTGCGGTCACCGGTGAGAGGCAATAGTGGCTACAGTGACATGAGCGGTGGTTGTAGTGACACGGGCGGTGGCTACAGTGACACAGGCGGTGGCTATAGTGACACGGGCGGTGGTTGTAGTGACACGGGCGGTGGCTACAGTGACACAGGCGGTGGTTGTAATGACATGAGTGGTGGTTGTAGTTACAAAAAAACGAAGACGCAGTGACATAATTTTTTTGCAGTTACATCATGTTTTCTAATTGCACATATATGACCTTCTTGATCACTTTTTTGCCCCTTTTTAAAAGTGATCACTTTTTGGATAATTGGTTCAAAATTAGTAATATCCAAGTAAAAACCCCTTAATTATGAGTTACAATTTATTATAACTATAGAGTCAAACATAAAAATTATCGTGATTGTATAGCATTATCATTTGGGCATCGTTTGTTGCTCAAGTGTTTGTATATAGCCACTATATAACATACTTAGAATAGTCTTGTTTGGTCTTGTTTACATGACCTATTTCTGTCTTACTAAAAAAGAAAAATTGGGAAACCAACAAAAAAATACCTATTTCATCAATCTGTGAAAATTCTGAAAAATGTTATCACAGTTAAATGTGCACAGTTCTTTTGAAAGCAAATGTGCACAATTATTTGTTTCATTATTAACAATTGATCCAAAAAGGTGGAATCTCCCACCTCAGAAGCCCCCACCCCAACCCGACAGGATGGTGGGAAGATTAGTCACGGTGACTCAGTCAGCAGAATGGTAGTAGGCTCATACATCCGTGCGCACCAGAGACCCAGCCTTATTTCAGGTTCTGTGACCTTCATCTAATCGCTGCGGGGATTCGAACACTGATCATTGATCCAAATCTCCCACCATTCGACCAACTGAGCTACTCGTGCGGGTTTTGTTTCATTATTAACAAAACACTATAGTGGCTCATTTGAACAACTTTAACTTATAGTGGATCACATGATTGCATACTTCCCAATTCCCAATTGAGCACGGCATTCTCTACAAAGTCTTTGTTTGCGACCAAAACAAAGAGTATATTATGAGGAGAATAAATTATACTAATATAAAGCTGAAAAACATTTCAAATAATTTTCAACCAATTAATATGACTTACGGGCTGTTTATTTTTGACTTCATGGACTTAATGAGAACAGTGACTTAATCGTTAAGCTGAAATATAATACTCCTTCTCATTAAGACATCTTTTATGTTAATTTTTTAAATCAATTATGGAATAGATTTATGCTAATAAATGAAATTTCTAATAATTAGAAGAAACATGTTCTAATCAAATATAATACTAAATTATAATTTCAATTTTCACATGAAGCACACCATCAATTCATTATAGAATATCACTTCATCGATCAAACATGTTCCATAGGGTTTTGACTTTTGAGAGTCAACCGTCAACACTCAACATGTTGATATTTTAACTATACTACTACAATCCATGCATTTTGCAACCATTATACTTGAATTAGCTCGTCTACTGACCAATTATATACTCCCTCCGTCCCTAATAACTTTGTCAAGATTGTTCAGCACGGAGATTAATAAAATAAAAATTGTTTGGTTGAAGTTTGTATTGAGTAAAGAGAATTAAGTGAAACCACAAATTCTTTACTTTGAAAGAGAAAGTGACAAATTTAATGAGACATTCAAAAGCGGAAAGTTGATAAAGTTATAAGGGACGTAAGGAGTATTGTCATCTCAAATCAATGGGCAAGAACATACCAGTTTACAAGATTGATCGATGTATAGATATTTAAATTCGTGCCACTGTCCCACTAATTAAACACAGACATTTAGAAATTTAATTGAAAAAACTATTGAAAATCATACTCCCTTTATCTCGCAAACATCTCATCTTTCCATTTCGATCGGTTCTATTTAGATTGTCCATACCATATTTGATAAAATATATATGGTTCTAAATTATTTTCAATTTATTCTTACTTTATCAATTTAATATCAACTACTCCGTATAAAATCGACTTTTCTTAATAACCGTGACACTTTCTCATGTTATGAAGTTGAAGCAATACCTGGTATGTAGCCAACAAAAATCCAGTCACATTCCATTTATGTTACACCCTTAAATTATGTTTATTAGGAGTCCGTTTGGTAATACCTAAATCGGCTGTATTTGTTGATTCTGCTGAAATTTATGAAGTTTTGGCTGAAATAGATGTATTGCTGATTTTGGTGATTTAAGAAAAAAATTGTTTAAAATATATTTTATTAATAAAATAAAGAAAAAAATATATGAAAAAACATGTAAAATGATCCTCTACAGTAATTTCATTCAATATAGGCAAAAAAGTAACTTCAATCTTACTTTTTCTTATTATTAAACAATTCAGCACGTACAATTAAAAGTTACGTGTTGGATAAAAAAGTTAAATGATAAGCCCGATAAGTCGGAAACCTAGCTTATCAAACTGGCTCTAAAAAAGAAAGGTCGGTGATCATTTTATATTTTTATGACCGGATGGTCCGGATGAAGTAAAGATAATGCAGTACAGTAACATGCTATAATAATTATGGAGTGTTTAATTACGCGCATAAAAAAAAGGTTTATTCGCCGTGTACACATGGACACACGTGTGTAAAAACCAAAAGAAACAACGTTAACGTATATTTCCAGCCGACGCTTAGCTGGAGGAAGCACCACCCCTCCCTCCCTCCTTTCCTCCTTCCTTCTGGCGGTTTCCACCTGTTCACACTCTCTCCGCCGTGCTGAGGAAGAACCTCACCGCACGCCATTGTACTTTTGACTTTTCTCCAAGGGAGGGAGCTGCCGAGATGCACAGCACTTCCGTCCTGGTTCTCTTCATATTTTTTCTTTCTTTTGCACACCGGCCGGCATCATCGGCCGCCGCAGGCTCTGCTTCCAACCGGCGCGTTCTCCACCAGCCCCTTTTCCCTGTGGATTCCCCTCCCGCCCCTTCGCCTCCTTCATCTTCCACTCCCGAGTTCCCTTTCACTTCTCCTGCCCCTCAGAGCGCTCCTTTCTTCCCGCCTTCTCCGCCTGCTTTCGCTTCCTCCCCCGTGAACTCAACTTTACCGAGCATTCCTCTCTCTCCAAAATCAAATTCACCGTCGTTAAAGCTAATCGCCACCATCGCCGCTTGCGTCGCTGCCGTCGCAGCCGCTATTGCCCTCTCTGTCGCCGGCTTCCTCCATTTCCGGAAGAGGAGACGCCCTTACTCTCCAAGTGACTATAAAACACGTAGATCCGGTTTTAGTAATCGATTGAATAGTGGTAATAATGCAGGTTCTGGTCAAGGGGCTAACTCTCCCGCCATTCTCGACAGGCCAACACTACCCAGTACGGAGTTTCTATACTTGGGCACTGTTGTCAACTCGAATGGAGGAATCGAATCCCAGGCCCTTCAAAATCATCCGATAAACATTGCAGGTGGCGCTGGAACTCCGAGAATGGTGGATTCGCCGGAGCTCATGCCGTTGACGCGGCTTCACGGACAGGGATCCAGGCAGAACTATTCGATCGCAGGGCGGACTTCAGTCGCAGATGGAGGAGGGAGTGATAAGTTTTACAACCCGACGGTAGGATCGTCGATGACAATTGGATCTGCTTCCAGGAGTGCTTTGACTCCTATTGAGCCCGAAAATGGCGGTGGTGGGTCCACGTCATCTTCATCATCAGATTCTTCATCTAGTTTGGGTTCGGGTTCAGGCTCGGCCAGGAGGTCTGTCTCTCTGAGCATTTCTCCGCCACCCAGCTTAAGCCCTAAAGACTCTATTCCCAAGTCGCCTGAATTGGTTGCTGTACAAATCACTCCTCCAGTTCCAGCACCATCTTTTCCGTCGCACTTTCAGACGCAATTGGCGGATGCAAGGAATTCTCAGTCATCATCGCCGGCCAGTTCTTCCTCGTCCGGAAGAGATGCCTCTCCTAGAATATCTGGAATTTGGGATAAAAAGCTACCATCTCCTGCTAAAATAAGCAGTCCCAGTTTGGATTCTCCAGTGAGATTGGGCAACAGTAGTGTGGAATCTCCGGCAAGTTTCAAGACCCCTTCTGCTTCACCACCTGCTGCTCCACATGCGCCGGCACCACCCCCATCTGTGCCAGCACCACCTCCACGGGTGAAGCGAATAGAAAATCTAATTGCTCCAGTCCCTCAATCCCAAAGGATGATCTCTGAATTGACTCCATTAATGCCAACAACAACTAAGAGTGGAGAAGTGTTCTCCAGTAAAAATGTTCAAAAAAATGAGGTGACTACAAAACCAAAACTGAAGCCACTTCATTGGGATAAAGTGAGAGCAAGCTCTGACCATGAAACAGTGTGGGATCATCTGCAATCAAGCTCATTCAAGTACGTTAATTATAAATTGTTGCTTCCCAATTGCCCTTGATTTTCTGCTCAGTTGTTCTTACTTCTTAGTATGTCTTAATTTTTTTTCTTAGTATGTCTTAATTATGGACGGGATTTTCACTATGGGTCATCCGGAAACCGTCTCTCCCTGCTTTAGTACAGGGGTAAGACTGCGTACAGTCGGCCCCCTAGGTGGAGCGGCCTTTGCGGCACTGGGGTAAATGAAAATGATGAAATGATGAGTATGTCTTAATTAAGAAGTATAAATAGTTTTTTCATATATTTATATTTCTCAGTCCTTATATGTAATGAACACAAATAAATAAGTAGTACATAAAAAGAGAGCTTGTCATCAAATATCTAAAAAAGAGATTGAAGTTTAACCTATTTTTATTCCCCCATTTGTTTCCTTCTAATCCCCCCTATTCTTTCATTCCTGTTGTTTCATCAGTATTTATGAGGTTCAAACTGCTCCTTGCTCTATAATTGATATGGATCATGCTGCAGGGTGAATGAGGAGATGATTGAGTCATTGTTTGTTGTTAATGCTCCAAATTCAAAGGCAAATGGAAAAGCCCAACACTCTGTTATTCCCTCTTCGAGCCAAGAGCATAGGGTTCTTGATCCAAAGAGGGCGCAGAACATTGCAATCTCACTGAGGGCCCTAAATGTCACCATTGAGGAAGTATGTGAAGCTCTTTTAGAAGGTATCATATAGTTTCTTTCTCTTTATTTCCAAAGAAAGTGAGCAGCTACGGAGTACTCAGTACTCACTTTCATTAGGAGTACTATATTAATTTTTCTTGCATTAGGAGATTTGCTACATTAATTTTTCTCGATACATGTATATTGTTTCCATAGTGGGTTTTCTTTTGAACCTAACTTGCCAATTGCCATTCAGTGTTCCTAATATTTTGGGACATTTGTGAACTGTGAGACTCCCATCTTAGATTTCTGAGGATATATAGAATGGTTGACTTCAAATTAATGAAATTGGAAGAAAAATAAAGGTTATTTTGAAACTTGAGAATGCCAAGGGAAATCAAATTCAAGTGTTTGGTATTAGCTGCAAAAGTGTGAACGAATATCAAATTAGATTAACAATTTATATGTTTTACGTATTTTTAATTTTTAATGTTTATATATTGAAATAAATACATACATTGGATGAACAAATTTATAAAAACGATTGGTTGAGCTTGAAATTCTCCTTATTTTCCTCCAAATTTCTTTGCTTCTAATTCTTCTAGCTGTTTTCTCCCTAGCTTTTTCTGGAGCTTAATCAGAATTCGGAACATCTAAATCATCACTTATAACGAATTTTGCTCTTTTTAATAATTCAGGAAATGTTGATACCCTTGGGACTGAGCTTCTTGAGAGTTTGTTAAAGATGGCCCCATCTAAGGAGGAAGAGCGCAAGCTTAGAGAGTATAGAGAAGACGATGATTCACCTACCAAGCTCGGACCAGCTGAGAAATTTCTCAAGGCAGTGCTTGGTGTACCTTTTGCATTTAAAAGAGTAGATGCAATGCTCTACATTTCAAATTTTGAGTCTGAGGTTGACTATCTCAAAAAGTCGTTTAAAACTCTCGAGGTACTTGTTTTAAGCAATGATCACTCCTACTTATGTATCATAATGTTCTAAGAAGTGTTAGACTAAGAGATAGGCATTACAAAAGTTGAATAAGTCAAGACCTAAGTGGGAAACAGTCTAGGTACCCATGGGGGCTTGGTCTATGTCCAGGATTTTTACAACAATGGGTCTGAATTTTATATTTCACAGAATTCATAATTGTGTTATAGTAGCACAAATGGGTCATCATGCACCTAGCCAAACAATTGGGTTGGCATGGCTAGGGCTACACTCAATTGAGAGTACACTTGTCATTCACTGGGTCATAATGCATATAGACCAAGCTGCGGTAAAAGGTTGAATTAATTTATACCTGGTGCAGCCTAATGTCTTCTACACCAATATGTTGTTCTTTCATATTTTGATGTGGGACACTTGACATTTAGACAATATGTTTAAGAAAAAATGAAAAATATTAAGTACAATTTTATGGACAAAAATATAATTCTGAATATTGATTGACCATTGTGGTATTTTGTAGTTACCATACTGATGTTCATTTTTACACTAGCGCAGAACTGCACATGATGATATTTTGCAGTCTATATTATTATAGGATACACCCCTGTAATTAATTTGTTGTCATCTCATTGTTGCTTGCCCACTTCCCAGGCTGCATGCGAGGAGTTGAGAAGCAGCAGGATGTTCTTAAAGCTTTTAGAAGCTGTTCTGAAAACTGGGAACCGGATGAATGTTGGGACAAATCGTGGGGAAGCACACGCATTCAAGCTTGACACTCTCCTCAAGCTAGTCCACGTCAAAAGTGCTGATGGTAAAACCACACTCTTGCATTTCGTCGTCCAGGAGATCATAAGAAGCGAAGGTGCCAAACTTTCTTCTGCAAACAAGGACGAAACCTCATCAGCTGTCGACCATCACGATGCAAAATTCCGGAAGCTCGGCCTCCAGGTGATTTCCAGAATCTCTTCAGAGCTAACAAACGTCAAGAAAGCCGCTTCCATAGATTCAGAAATCCTGCACGGAGACGTTCTAAAGCTTTCCAAAGGGATTTTGAAGATTGCAGAAGTTATAAGGTTGAACGAAGGTAATATGGACATAAAGTTCTCAGAGTCCATGAAGAGGTTCACGAATGTGGCAGAAGAGGAAGTTATAAGACTCCAGGCACAAGAAAGCGTTGCTTTGTCTCTGGTGAAGGAGATAACTGAGTACTTCCATGGGGATTCAGCTAAAGAAGAAGCTCACCCTTTCAGGATCTTCATGGTGGTGAGGGATTTCCTGGTAACGCTTGATCGTGTGTGTAAAGAAGTTGGGGTGATAAATGAGCAGTCAGTTATTATCAGTTCTGCTAATAAATTTCCAGTTCCTGTTAATCCCATGCTGCAACCAGTTATTAGTGGGTGCATTGGGAGAGGGCAGTCCAGTTCTTCTTGTGACAAATAACAACAGCCTAACCTTTTGATTACTATTTATTCGTATATTCTTTTCCCACTTGGGCTTATATGAACCATATAACCTCAGCTAAAATGTGCATTTACTTTTTAGGAATTTTGTAGTTAATCTTCTTCAAAGTTGTATAATGTAAAAATTAAAATAATTAAATATTATTGTCATCATACATGTAAAAGAGAGCTGATATTCTTTGTACCTGTGAATGTGCTCCTACTTCTAAAACGTTGCTGGATAAATCAGTTATTAAGTTTTATTTAGAGTCCGTTTGGTAACACTGATATCGGCTGATCGTGCTGAAATTTATGAAGTTCTGGCTTAAGTGACTGTATTGGTTAATTTTGCTGGTTTATGGAAAAAAAATTAAAATATATTTTATAAATTAAAACAAAGAAAATTTTTTATGTAAAAATAGCTAAAATGATCCTCTATAGTAACTTCAACCGAAACAGCCAGAAAAGTAACTTCAATTTTACTTTTTCTTATTATTACACATTTCAGCGCGCGAAATCAAAAATTATGTATTTGGTGAAAAAGTTGGTTGATAAGCCTGATAAGCCAAATAACAGTGTTACCAAATGGGCTCTTATATTGTCTATGTATGCAGATATACGGTAATTTCTTGCATTGTTTTGCCTAGGGTTGGATTCGGTTCGGGCCACCCGGCCCGTGACCCGGCCCGACCCGGTACTGTGCGGGCCCGGGACCGGCCCGGTCGGGCGGTCCGGGACCGGGTATGGGCCCGAACCGGTGGGAAGGGGCGGGGCGGGCTTGGTGCTGGAATAATGTGACCCGGCCCGGCCGGGTCGGGCCCGGGCCCGGATCCGGTCTTATTTTAAAAAAAAAAATGTTTGGTTGGGCTACTAGCCGTTGGGGGTGGGGCTGGGGACAACCCAAACGGCTATATAGCCGTTGGGTGGGGTAAAGGGGGGGTCCGGGGGGTTGGCTGGTGGGGGAGGTGGGGGGTGGGGGGTAAAAAAACCTATAAATACTCCTAATCTTAAACATTTTTTCATATCTCTTCTCCAATTCTTCCTAAATCCTATTCTTAACTCTCTACTCTCTAATTCTCTTATTCTCCAATATATTATATTTATTATTTATATATCTACTTTATAGTTTATACTTAAGAAGTTAAGATGGAAAATCAAGATGCCATTATACGGTATAATTTTGATAAGCAGAAGGACCCGAAGACCGGGATGTGGTACGCAATTTGCAAATGGTGCGAGAAAAAATGTAGCATGGGGGTTTCAGGCAGATTCGGGATGGCAATCAAGCATATGAAGTCATGTGACAAAGCCAAAGGATCGGGAGGTGCGGGAAGTTCCGATTGATTACAATTTTCAAAATGTTTATCTCTTAAAGTTTGTTTTAATTTTCAAATGTAGTTCCTATTTCATTTCAAATAAATGCAATTGAAGTTTGTTTTTAATACTCGTATAAAACTATAAACTATAAAATATAAATTATATAAAAAAAATTAACCGGCCCGGCCCGAACCGGACCCGACCCGTGACCCGGGCGGGTGGCCCGGCCCGAATCGGACCCGTCCAACCCTCGGGCCGGTCCCGGGCCCATGTCATACAACCCGGCGGCCCGACCCGACCTAGGCCCGACCCGGCCCGAGTCCATCAATAGTTTTGCCAACAATTGATTATCATTTTTTATGCGGGTATCTGTGTTCTTGAAAAGAATCTTATTTGATGAGATATAACTCAAGATGAACTTTGGAGATGATAGAGAGTTAGCACGAAAATGAGAATTACATCTAATTTGAAGAAGAAAATCGAAAAATAAAAAAAAATGGAAAGAGAGAAATAGAGATGGTTTTTTTTGCAAGTAATGAAAACATTGAAAATATTTCCATAATTTGCAATGAAGTCAAAAATTCACTATTTTTTGGCTTGGGAATATGATGGAATAAAGCAAAATGACTCACTAAACTATTTGCGCTTCTTTGTTATGAAACAACAGTCAATCCATGCAATTTTCAACAAGATTTTCACCACGGGTCATTCGGAAACAGTCTCTTTATGCTCTAGTACAGAGGTAAGACTGTATACATCGAACCCCTCTAACCTCACCGTTGGTGGGAGTCTTTGCGGCACTGGAGTAATGATGATGATGAATGAATAAAAACATTGAAAATGAAAACGTAGAGAAGAGAAGAACAAAGAAAGGACGAGGATTCAATCTTTGATTGGCTATTAAATGAGAATTGATAGAAATAGGAGAGAGAGAATGAGGAAAGTGTAAGAGTTTGCATACAAATTCATTTTCATAATAAATACTTCCTACGTTCTTTAATTCTTGCAACATTGTGATTTTTGCACTGTTCACGGACCTTACTTTGACCACGATTTTCTACTAATATAGGGGGTGTTTGGATCTGATTCTCAAAACTGATTCTGCTCCTTCAGGGAGCAGAAGCAGAAGTTGGAGTGTTTGGGTGAAATTCCAGAAGCACTTCTGGTGCTCTAATTTACTCTCAGAATCAGTTTTTTTAGAAGCTGGGGGGTACCAGCTTCTGAAAACTGATTCTGATTCTGCTTCTGCTTTAAAAAAGAAGCAGAATTAGAATCAGTTCCAAACACCCCCATACATAATCAAATTATTACGTATAAAATGTTATTGAATTCCTATCAATGTGAATTTCCAAAATATCAATCTTTTATAATTTTTACTAATATATAATTACAGTCAAAGTTGTGCGTTGACAAACGTGAAAGACAAACTGTTGCAAGAATTAAAGAACGGAGGATAGTATGAAATAATAGTGAGACAATTTTACTACAGAAACATGACAATAACTATACACTTATACAGTATCATCACAAATTCACAACTAATACACTAATCATCACTATCAAGAATAGTATGGATTAAAAACTAAGAGCCCGTTTGACAACACTGTTTTTCGGCTTATCATGCTTATCATCTATCTTTTTCACCAAACACGTAATTTTTTATTTTGCACGCTGAATTGCGTAATAATAAAAAAGTAAGGTTGAAGTTACTTTTCTGATTGTATTGGCTGAAATTACTGTAGAGCACCATTTTTACCAAATAGATTTTAAATACGTAGTACAATTTATAAGTCCTTTGAGGCCACAGCCCACACGCTCCCAACGGGAACTCTAGAAAATTGATGTGTGCCCTTTTCCTCATCGCTTTGTGATCTTTATCTTTGAGGTGTTTATATTTGTTTTCTTTCACTTGCTTCCTTAATGCTTAGGCACGTGTGCGCCACGCTTTATACTTATTCTCTATGTACTCCCTCCGGTCCTTAATTAACTTTACACTTTCCTTTTTGGACCGTTCCATATTAAACTTTACACTTCTTTATTTGGCAAACAATTCTACACCAAACAGTGCAAAACAGTGCAAAACAGTGCCAAACAGTGTACTCTACATTAAAGTCAAATTTATTTCCTTAATATGTGTGAAGTCAAAGTGTAAAGTTTAATAAGGACTGGAGGGAGTATTAAAAAGGTAGTGCTTAGCTACACTTGCACTCAATCACTGATAGTTCCACTTTACTATACCTTATTTCCCTTCCCCCGCTCTCATTTAGCTTTCATTGTTTGATTTGGTTTACAAGGGCCTTTTCATTAAACATCATGCAAAAATCTCGTTTACTACTCTTAGAATAGAGGCTTAGAAATTGCTGCTAAAGGTTAAGATAGGGATTCAACAAAAATGGCCACTAGAATTAATCCTTCTATATGAGGAGCTCAACGTATATACAATACAAGAAATCATAAGTTTGAATACATTTGCATAGTTACCTTTAGTAGCGTGACAAACAAAACTTATAGATAGTTTCAGAACCCAAAATTAAATGATCTTTTCAACGAGATATAATACGCTATAAACGAAAGATTATACAACAAGAAATGAGGGTCACAAATACTTAGTTTGTTCTCTTTGATTTAGTGTTTTCAGCGTAAATAGAGCATTCTTAGCGTAAATACAATCTTGTTTTCAAAATTCGCCTCATTAGGTAATATTCCTGTAATATTTTGAAATTGACGCCTGCTAGTTACTCTACCCTACTGTTTCGCCTACCTGACCGTCAAGGAGTCACCAAAACTGTGCGGGGTAGGGGAGAGGTGGGGGGTGGCTTCGTTCACTGACACATGCGTGGCTGATTGACACTGGTGGGACAAGCTGACGTCAACAACCGTTTCAAATTTAAATTGGTGCCTATCCAAGTGCGGCGTTGAGAGCATTACGTAACCCTAGCAGGCCCGCGCCTGGACACCTGGGCTGGGGTGCAAAAACTTGGGCTGATGACTTGCTTTGATGCGGGACTTGGTGAACACTGGGAACCTTGTTCGCTGGGTTGGATTGCTACTCACCTATGTAGCTTGGATGCCTGAAATGGGTTATTGGTTTGGACACAAGCCTAGATATGGAACTTCACTCTTTTTTTGACCTAGGAGCTATTGGGATACATTTGTATGCGTGAAAGGCCTACGAGACTTTGACACTGTTGAGCAGTTACTGGGCCTGCTGGATCAGAGTTCACTTGGATCAGAGTTACGAGTTCAGAGTGAAATCGAAAATGTTTGTGAATTTTCAAGTTAATCTCTACCTTTTACTTAATGCATCATAAATGAATTCGGAACAATAGCTTTATAACTCAAAATGGTCTTTCCAACTGATGGAGTAATGGGACTAGGCCCAGAGCCTAATCAGCCCAAGCCCCGAACTTGGACCCATGGATCCAAGTCCACAGCCTGGAGCCTGCCTGCCAGCCCAGCGGGGAGCCTGCCAGTCCGTCCGACCTCCCAGCCCGGAAGAGTAACGGTCAAACAATTAATGCGCTATTAATTATGTATTAATTCCGTATTAATGTTGTAATTAATTAGTCATTATTATCGGTAACAGTTACGATTTGTATAAGCCTATAAAAGGCGGGTTGTAGTTAAGATTAGGGGAGCGAATTCTATATGCTATTTCTGGCTACCAAATTCCCTTTGCAACTTTCCTTATTCGTATTACTTTCTTGATTCCTGCTTGAGTGTCGTATGTAGCTTTTCTAAAAGCCTACGAGCATCCTATTTTGGACCAACATTGGTGCTTTCATTGAGAGCCTCTATTGTCTCTCATCACTTTGGTAGGAATCAATCAGGAAATTTCAGAAAAAATGGGCAAAGATTGAAGGTTTCTAGCAGTTTTCATGTCTGTAATTCACAATCTTGAAAAAATCTGGCAAAAATCGATCTGAAAACAAAAAAAGGATTTTTTGGGATCTGGATCTTCCCAAATCAAAGGATCTCTCGAAACCCGACCAAGCAAAGGAAGCAGCCAGATCTAACTAGTCCAGCAACAAGCAGAACACTTCGCCACCACGCAGCTCGCCATCCGCCATTAATGGCCGCTTGATGTCATCACGGAGAAAATTCAAGGTTGTTGCTTCTTTCTCCGTTGCCGCTGCGATGGTCCCCTGTGAACCCAAATCCATAGTTGCCATCGTCGCAAGGAGTCAACCTGTTTTGTTCCGATGGTGGAGGCCCTGACATCCCCATTTAAGACCTCCCAAAAGTCGTGCACGGCTCTATGAATCTCCGTCTGAGGCTCCATTGACAGCTCCCGTCTCCAACAGGTATAGACTAATCCATGTTCAAGCTGCGGCGACGAGATGCGAAGGGCCCTGCTCCCCTTGGGCACGACCGCTTATCTTTCCTATGTTGAGCCTTCCGATTTCTGCAAAACAGAAGAGCGGCCAGCTTTTGTTGACCCAGTCAAATTGGGCCATGATCCAAGAGGGTTAACAATTTGAGCCCCATTTGAAAGATAAGTACCATGACAATTTCCTCCATATATTCTATTTTTGATAAAAAGTCATTACAAAAAATATAAAATGAAAAAAAATGTCTTAAGTGATATAATTGATTTACTCTTATTAAGCGTGTGTAATTTTAACATTGAAAAACGGACTTATGAAATCCGATCACTCACGTACATTGGGCGAGCACACACACTCGTACACTGGCCGAGCACACACACTCGCGCCATCGGGTCACATCATATGGGTGTGGCGATTAATAAGCTCCAATATAAATGTTAATACCGCACACTCTTGACTTCATGCGAGTTCTTGTGTGCTCTTACCCTTTCCAAGTGCATCACACTCCGACCTCGGGGGACGAGTCACCCGTTCAAAAGTTTTTACTTGCGGGTTCGAACTACTAACCTCGGACGGCGAGTTAAACTCTTGTTAAGGGCCTAGAGCCACGCTCTTCCAAGCGATTTTGTCACTTAATTGACATTCATATTTCTCGAAAAGGTTGATATACTTTACTTCTTTGGGGTTGGATTATCCATTCGAGTGAGGAGTCCGACTCACTTACTCGCGGATTTAATCTTTCTTTCGGAGACTGGGTTGAGGCCTAACTTGGGAACTTGATGTCATTCTTTTCAAATAGTGAGTCTGACTCACTTACACACCGAGTCGTGGTTCGACATCAGGCTAGATGCTCTATTCTACACTAGTTTCTTTTATGTGTAGGTACAACTGAATGAAGTGGAGGACTGAGGGTCTTACCATCTTCAAGGAAGCAAATGACAAACCTGACGAGTCTGAGTCCGACGAGAAGAACAGTTCTAGCCATCCTATTCGCGGATGGCGACCATTGCAATAAAGGCTGAGGATCTCACCTCTTGCTTCATCTTGGGGGCGTCAGATGTACTCTTTTTCCCTTCATTAGGATTTTTTCCCATTGGGTTTTTTCCTAATGAAGGTTTTTAATGAGACATCTCCCCAACATGGATAAGGGCGGGGATCTTCTAGTCTCGGAGAAGAGCAACCGACTTGGACTACTCCCTCTTAGCCGAGTCTACCACTCGACTAAGGGAGTGGGGGACTCGTGATGGAGTAATGGGACTAGGCCCAAAGCCTAATCAGCCCAAGCCCCGAACTTGGACCCATGGATCCAAGTCCACAGCCTGGAGCCTGCCTGCCAGCCCAGCGGGGAGCCTGCCAGTCCGGCCGACCTCCCAGCCCGGAAGAGTAACGGTCAAGCAATTAATGCGCTATTAATTATGTATTAATTCCGTATTAATGTTGTAATTAATTAGTCATTATTATCGGTAACAGTTACGATTTGTATACGCCTATAAAAGGCGGGTTGTAATTAAGATTAGGGGAGCGAATTCTATATGCTATTTCTGGCTACCAAATTCTCTTTGCAACTTTCCTTATTCGTATTACTTTCTTGATTCCCGCTTGAGTGTCGTACATAGCTTTTCTAAAAGCCTACGAGCGTCCTATTTTGGACCAACACCAACGAAATACAAGATGCATGATAAAAAACGAGATATAAGACGCTCTAAACGGAAGTTCATTTAGTAAGAAATGAGTGCCACAAATTATTATTGTCCTAATTTAAGAAGATATTATTTCAGGATTATCTATAACACATAACTACATATTATTATTGTCATAATTTAAGAAGATTATTGTGTCATAATCTAAGATGCATTTGGAACTTATGTTTATGTGGAGGATCCACGGGTGAGCGGGTTGCAGTTGTAGTGGAGCTGAGCGAACCCTTTTGCCGTCCCATTCACGATTTTCAGTCTCAAAGTCCGATCCAACGGTTTTTCCCCATCATTGAGGTCATGTGTTAAGTCCTGAGGTTTCATCCTAAAAGCAAACCTTATAGGAAGAGGAGTCCGAATCATAATAAAGCTTTTAATTGTTTTAGAGATATACGGTGTGGGACAACACCCCTCATCATAACCAAATCGACACTTTGTCTCGATAAAGTCGTCATTCATTTTTTTCATCATTCATCATTGTCATTTTTTAAATAATTGTGTCGTCATTTTTCATAGAGTCCCACACTATAGATTGATTTGGCTCTGATATCATATTAACACCTGATGTTTCATCCTAAAAGGTCAACCTGATAGGAGAAAGAACTCAGATCATATTAAGAATTAGTTAAAAGTGTAGAAGCCAAAAATTTTAATTTGAATGTTTGTGGATATTTGTAACCTTTTAAAAAATGTAGGTTGAATACACCTAAAGAGTTTTTGCCACTTTTAGTCCCTCGATTATTGTGTCAGTGACACTTTTGGTACTCGACTTTTAATTTTTCCACTTTTAGTCCTCAACTATTGTGCGAGAGACACTTTTGATATCCGTCTTTGAAAATTTCCGTATTTAGTCCTTCGACTTTTGTAGAAGTGACACTTTTGGTCCTTCAACTATTGCTATAGAAACATTTTTAGTCCTCCACTTATTGTGTCAAAATCATAGTAGAAGGACTAAAAGTGTCAATTTGATAAATACTCAAATGACTAAATGTAGGAAATTTGAAAGTAGAGGACTAAAAGTGTCTCACGAACAATAGTCGAGGACTAAAAATGGAAAAATTAAAAGTCATATACCAAAAGTGTCACTGACACGATACTCGGGGACCAAAAGTGTCAAAAACTTTACACCTAAATTTGAGTACACCCGTTACCAGATTTGAACTGGGGAGTCAGATTCATCACTGTCATCTAATCTCATCTATCCAAAACAATCGCGCGTTCCCTGTCCAGTTTCCGCTTTCCACCACCTATGGAGGCTCTTTCCTTAACCATATCCATTCCCACGCGCTCCTCTGATCAATGCACAACTCACCTCGTGAAGCCCAACTTCACCTCTCTTCGATCATCCCATTCAACCCGAAATTTCACCTCCCATTGCTCAAATTCACCCCAAACCCATGCCAGCCCAACGCCTCACTTGCCCCGACCGCCGCAGACTCTAACCGACATTAATCTTCACGGGAACTCTCCGAAATCCCTTTTCTTCTCTATTTTCACGGGTTTATCTTTCCCCTTTTCGTGCTTTGCCTCTGAAATTGCTGCACCCACTGAAGAGATTCCAAGTAAAATAAATTTAGAAGCAATTGTGGTCTCCATTGATGAACTGCTCACTAGGTATCCCTTTGTTGCTTTTGGGGTTGCATTTATTTGGCTTGCAGTAGTTCCACTCACTAAAGACTACATGCAGAAGTACAAGTTCATCTCTGCCATTAATGCATTTAAGAAGCTCCGGGATGACCCGAATTCTCAGATGTTAGATATCAGGGATAAGAGGGCTCTGGCCTATTTAAATTCTCCCAATTTGAAACTATTGAATAAGAGTGCGAGGCAGGTTCATTTCGTTGGAGGAAATGAAGATGCTTTTGTCAAGGAAGTTATGGAGAAATTTCCAGAACCGGAAAGCACAGTTGTTTGCATTATAGACCAGTGAGTTTTACCAATCTTTGTGATATAAGTTGATACTTTTTATAGCTTCCTGGCATGCACAATAGATTGGACAACATGGCTACTTACAAAGCAAATTTTGGTTGCAGCAATATTTGTTAAGTGCTTAAGTCAACTCACATCTAAGCACATCGACCAAATACAAAAACATAGACCTACATATAAGTGATTAGCCTGTCAGATTGACTTTGGGGCATAACCTCAAGCATTAGGTTCCACCGTTCCAATGAGTAATTCGATCCTTGTAAGCACCAACAATAAGCATTTTGATATAGTACAATGTCTTATATGTGGATTTATAAATATTTACTTGACCTATATGGGATGATTTAACCATAATTTATCTGTGTTAATTGCAGTGCATTGAGTTCAAAATTGGTATGGTCTTGAGTGGGTTATGGGTCATCATTAGGTGGTAAATACTAAATAGGATTGTTTACCTCTAGGATTTAAAATTAGTATATATGGTGTTTGCTGATTTTGAAAAATGAATAATGTAATGACTGTTATGTGGAAGGTAGTTTTGATGGTAACTCGATCAAAGTGGCTGAACTCTTGGTGAAAAGTGGTTTCAAAGAGGCCTATGCAGTCCGAGGTGGGCTACGAGGCAATAAAGGGTGGCAGGTGATATCTCTGTCTATTCTAAATGTACTTAGTTTGAGAATAACTGAATAAGTTGATGCAGTGGCACATTGCAACCATGTGTCTTGAATCTTAACAGTAATAAAATGTGCTCTCTGGCCGAATTTCTAGTTATAGAATAGGGAAAAGTATGGAAAAAATACCTGTGATTGAGCACGTTTTCAAACAGCGGCCTGCGTTTCATTTCTTAACAAACTAATCTATGCGGTTGATTCCGTTATCACTGGAGGGGTCTGCTGCCTAACTCCATTGGAAATTGCAGGAAGAAGACAATGAATAGTAACTCTGATTTTCAAAAGTGCCCGGATAGTTAGAAAAAAAATATCGGGACTCGGGAGGTGCACCTCGTCAATGAGATATTCAAATCATCTTCTTTTTTGGATTTTTTGGCTCTTTTTGGTTTACTTTTTTTAAAAATAATTCGCCAATATACTGTTTCCTATGGATTTTCTAGCGATAAGGGTGACTTTGAATAAAAAAGTAAGATAGTCTAGAGGTCTCCCTGACGAGGCGTACCTCTCACTATTTTGTTTTAATTATCCGGAAACTTTTGAAAATTGGAGTTAGGCGCCGAACCCCTCCAGTGATAACGGAATCAAAACACATGGACTACTTTGTTAAGAAATGAAATACAAGCCCCTACATGAAAACACACTCAATCACGTGTACCATTTCCGTACTTTTCCTTGAATAAAATATTGTCATTGTAATAATAAATAACAAAATCACTGGAGGGGATGGGGGGGGGGGGGGGGGGTTCATTCTTTTACTAATTTATCTCTGTTTGAGAATTTGCTGGTGTGGGACCATAAATGATGATATTTTTCACTAAATAATGTTTTTATACTCCCTCCGTTCAGTTTTAGTTGCTCCAGTAGATTTTTCATTACTTGTATGATAGTGAATCGAGTACGAAGGTAACAAAATAGAATAGATGGAAACGTTGGAAATAGAAGGTATAAAAGTAAGTATATCTATACCTTTTAAAGATGTATGCGTAGGAAAAATTATCAAAAATGGAAAATGAAGTAAAAATGAAGTTATCTATACCTTTAATTAATAATAAACTTACATAAAAATTAAGTGAATCAAGTAAAAATGAACAAAGGAAGTACGAAGTACGGAGTATAATTTTTTGGCTCTATTTACCCTCTTACCTTCTATATGTAAGAATAAACTAAAAAAAGATATCACCCTGCCCTCTGAAATCCTTTGACTACTGCAGTTTGGTGGGTATTTTCCGAGCTTCTCGTCCTTATCATTACCCGGAAGTCTTACTAAACGCTATACTTTGTATTTTATTGCATTGTGTTTGCAGCATTGGTTAATATAGAATGCACAAGTTACTTCTTTGGAGAACAAAGCTATATGAATGAAACTAACACTTTAACTTCACTTTAAGATATTACTTTCTTTAATTTATTTAAAATACAAAGTACATTTTAAATAAACTCTTAGATCATTAAGCAGATTCAGGTACACTTTCCAGACATGTAAGCCTTACCAAATGGGCCCTAGTTAGTAGTAGCCCTGAGATGGTCTCTCATCGGATGACACTTGACTATTAATTCTGATTACATGTCCATTTTGTTGTAGGAGATACAGGAAGAACTTCTCCCTTTATCCGTTCGTGTCTACCACAAGAAGAAAGCCAAAGTGTTGGAACAGGAACAGGGTAACAGTACAGATGCCATCCAGCCAGATGAAGATATGGATTCCGGTATTAAAAGAGGTGAAGACATGATCAAGGGATCTGTTACAATGCCCTATGAGATCAACTCAAGTGGTTATAGGCCATTATCTCCCTATACAAATGTATGAACTCCTCTCGTCTCTGTAAAAAACAAATAAACAAGGCAAACACTTTATCTGCTTAATTTTTCTGCAATGAAGTGTATGGTAACATCCATTTTAGCCAATAAGAGTCTGTCTGGTAAGGCTTAAAATGTCTATGTGGGTGAATTTACTTAAATTGCGGCTGAAAGGTTTGAATTTGCCAATTCTCTAAAATATTTATTAAAAATGATTTTGTAAGTAAATGAAATAAAGTAGAAAAAATGGCCTGATTATGACCCCTTGACTCTTCATTTCCAAAATTATGACCATATTCCAATTTCCCAAAAACATGAGAGTTGTACATCTCTCCCAACGTCTCCACACTCTCCCCAAGTAAATCCTTCGCACATCCCATTCAACCCTCTCACAGCATCACCTCCGCACAGCAAATCCTTTGCATCACCTCCGTCTCCAACCTCCGCCTCCACAACAATTCCTTCTCTCTTGAGTTTCTGCACAGCGGCGGCGGCCGTTCGACCTCCGTCATCCACCGTCACAGTCCCCGCCGAGCGCTTCCGTGTCTCACTTTCTTCTTTTTCTGTTCATGCGCCGCCTCATCGCTCCACGTCGATGTGAGGTTCCGAATCCCAGTGGTGTGGTTGATTTGGCCGACGATGCGGTGATTTGGACGGCGGTACGGTTGATTTGGGCGGCGGTGCGGTTGATGTGACTGTTTCTCTTTTCCATCCAACCTCCGTCGCTGGATCTAAGGTTTGATGAAGTCCAGAGGTAGCCGCTTGGTTTCAGATCTGCCAGGGAGTTGGCCGCTTGATTTCAGATCAGTTGGTGCGATGGCTGCTTGGTTTCAGATCTGTCGGTGTGGTGGCCGCTTGGTCTCAGATCTGCCGAGGGCAGTGCCAGTGGTTGGGTAGAGGATGTGCGTTGTGGTCTGGGCAGTGACGGTAACGGTGGTGTGGTGAGGGGAGGGGGTTGGATACAAGTGGGGGTTGTGGACGGGGAAGGGGTGGCACTGTGGCCGGGCGGACGGGCAGTTACTGGGTCGGTGGCCCGGGAAGTCACTGAGGCCAGAAGTCACGGTGGCCGGAAGTCGCTGAGGCCGGAGTCAATGTGACCGGAGGCATTGAGATAGTGACTGACGACGGCGGCGGCGGTGACGGTGACCGCGACGGTCTGGGGGCGGCGGCCGCAGAGCTGCTTGTGGCTGCAAAGTTATTAAAATGATAAATTTATGATTAAATATAAGCAATAAATGACTTTAGTCACTTTTTTGGAAAAATTTAAAACAAGTCACATTTTTGTCATTTTCACTCATTTTAGTAATATTGCAATAAAAAGGCCAATAAAGTAATGTGAATTGTCATTTGCGTCATGTTAGCAGTGAAGGATGAATTGTCATTTGCATTGCAAAATTGTGAAATAAGTTTGTGTTTGGTGAAAAACCTAGTCAGTCAGCCAAAATATGCATGTTAGCAATAGCAAGTGAAAAGTTACTTATTCTGCTAACATGTTAGAACTGGTGACCATAAGGTGCCTTATTTTGCATTTCTAGCATGTTTCAATTTCTAATTTCTAGGCAATGTTAGTCTGAGTTATGCATCATGAACTTAACAAGCTTTAGTAAATGTCATGATATATTGATATGGCTATGTTATTGTGGATTTCAGTACCCAGATTTGAAGCCTCCGTCGTCTCCAACTCCATCAAAGCCCTCGGTTGCTCCGGTTGATGCTGTGTAATAGTTATATACGGAGTAGTCGTCAGTAGAGCATAATTTGCATTGTTTCCCTCCATATCACAACATTGTATGGCTAGAATGCATTGAGGGGCTGTGTAGGGAGTAATTGTGCAAGACTATGCCAGGCCTATGGCAAGTGAGGCCCTCGCCTTCCCATTGTTCTATTTGCAGCTTGTATAATGTATCCCATAACCCATAACTGTATTTCTTCTGCTATAGTGCTATTTGGTTATTCCAATAGAGACAATGGTTGTTGAAATTGGTTGAAATCGATTACTTTTGTTGAAATTTATGAAGTTCTTCTGAAATGATTAGATCGGTTAATTTTGCTGAATTATAAAAAGTTATATTTAAAATATATTTTATTATTAATATAAAAAAATTATATGAAAATTAATTAAAATTGTTCACCACAATAACTTCAACCAATCGGAAGTGTTTTGTTCATTAAACCAGTGGACAAAGTATAAACTACTCCGTAATAATTTGAATAAATGTCATTTGACATATGTGTTTTGAGGAAAGGGTCAATTGAGTACACCAACTTGTACGAGCTGGAGTAAATAGTACACTATATTGTATTTGATCTCTTTAAGTACACATATTCGGGATTTTAGTGTTAATTTAGCACATTTGTTAGATTAACACGTTAATACAGCTGAGTTGCCTAATGAAGTGTCGAGTAAGAAGGGGTAATGGACAATGTTATGGTGCTGACCTTCACGAAGTTGACAAAAAAGGAAAAATCGGCCTTCAGAGGTTGACCTGCTGGGGCGTCGGCCAGCAGGGGTGCATCGACCAAGGAGAAGTCGACATGCGGGGGACTAACGTCGACCAAGGGAAAGTCGATCAAATGACTGGGGGCTGGTGTAGACCTTCAAAAAGTCGATCTATTAGCATTCTGTTAGTCAACTCAGTCGTATTAACGTGTTAATACGACCTCTATCTAATGTTAATACTATATTAACATTAAAAATTCGAATTTGTATACTTTACTCTATCTAATACAAGTCGACCTCTATGTGTTTTTGTTCTACTACGTATGAGTGATTGCGGGCGCTAGACCGGATGCTTCGTCCTCTCAGCTTTATCAATGTTTTAAGCTCTCGTTCTTCTCTACTCCGCCAAGCTCTAGCTTGTCAATCAACGCCCAAGAGGATTTGTCGCATAGTTCGACTTCTCACTCGAACGATGAGTACTGACACTTCAGCTAGCATGCCTACTCCGCCAGTGGCAAAGAAGGTGAGCCACGAGATGGAGCTTTTCGGCGACGTGAGAGTAGATGACTACTATTGGCTCCGAGACGACAGCCGATCGGACCCTGAAATTCTCGCTCACCTCCGGGAGGAAAATGACTACACTGATTGCGTCATGTCTGGTTCGTCTGTTCTTTTGTTTGATCTCTTCTCTCACGTGTTTCATTCATTTAAACTTGAATCTAAGAAAATCATTTTTCACATTCATGGAAACAAATGTATATGGTGGCGCAAAACATTCATTGAAACAAATGCATTTGGGGTCATATAATATAACTTGTGGGTTGTGGACGGTCGAAATTGAAGTATTTGTTGAGTTGAGCTTCTGCCGGTGCACGTGAATGAAGAAGAGCATGAACATAATTAACTCCTTGTATCTTTTAGAATTCCCTTGTTTCTTTAATGCTTCATTGGAATTTCAAGACTCTAGGAGTTATGCACTTATCTATTGAAGGGATTTGAAGTATACATTAGGTCATCAATTCATCAAATTTGTCTACTTTTTTCTGCATAGTTAATAATGTGCCTAGCTGAAGTCGCCCTCACTGATTATATGCAAATCTTTATCCTGGAACATGAATCAGTAACAGTTAGAGCCCATTTTCAGCCTTATGTGGAGCAAATGAATCAAAATAAACAGAATAAGTAAATTCTGACTAACATGTATGGTTACCAAACGTTTTTTCCTTTGGATATTCAGCAAATCGAGTCATTTCAGCAAAACAACCGTTACCTAATATGCCCTTCAATGACTTATTTAGGCACAAAAAAATTGGAAGATGAGATATATGCTGAGATAAGAGCAAGAATCAAGGAAGATGATATATCAGCACCTATACGACTAGGGTCTTATTACTACTACGAAAGGACACAAAAAGGCAAGGAATATGTTCAACACTGTAGACGCCTTGCACCAAACCAGGAAGCAGCATTATCTGTTTATGATACCATGCCAACGGGACCGGACGCCCCGCCAGAGCATGTAATCCTTGACGAGAATGTTAAAGCTCAAGACTGTGAATTTTACACTATTGGTGCTTTTAAAGTAAGGACTTCTTGCTTTCACCTTTTTGTCTTGGGCATTTTGCTTTATCATCTGGGCTCTTTACTTCTGTCATTCCTACTTTTTTCTTCTATCAGGTTAGTCCTAACAATAAGCTAGTGGCTTATGCCGAAGACACAAAAGGAGATGAGATATATACTGTTCACATTATTGACATTGAATCTCGAGCACCAGTTGGAAAGCCTCTTGTTGGTTTGACATCAGAACTTGAATGGGCAGGTGATGAGGCCATAGTTTATGTCACAATGGATGAAACTCTTCGGCCTGACAAGGTAGGGAATTTGGCCTAGACTAACATGCCATGTAGTAACCTTTCTTGCAAATCCTGTTATATTTATGGTGAGGATCTTTTGTTTTCATTAATATGAGGTTTTCACCAGTTGGAACACGTGTTTCATAAAAGACTACGAGCTAGAAGTTATGTGTCTCTTACTTTAACTATTAATACAGTAATACATATCTGAAATGACATTTAGCCTAGCATTTTGGTCATAATATCCAAGTTTGCTGTAAACATGAAAGCTGTGTTAACAAGATTTGCATATTGAAATTGAATGAACTAACATCAAATATGTAGTTTTTGCCATTTTCGGTCCCTCGACTATTGGCTCAGTGACACTTTTGGTACTCGACTTTCAATTTTTCCACTTTTAATCCTCGACTATAGTGCAAGAGACACTTTTAGTCCTTGACTTCAAAGTTTCCCACATTTAGTCCCCGAGTATTATCACTTTGACACTTTTAGTCCTTCCACAATGATTGTGAGATAATAAGTGTAGGACTAAAAATGTCACTCCTATAATAGTTGAAGGATCAAAAGTGTCACTTTTATGAAAGTCGAAGGCCTAAATGTGGAAATTTTCAAAGACGGGTACCAAAAGTGTCTTTCGCACAATAGTCGAAGGACTTAAAGTGGAAAAACTCAAAGTCGAGTACCAAAAGTGTCAGTGACATAATAGTCGGAGGACTAAAAGTGGAAAAAACTCATCAAATATGTATAAAAAGAGACAAATTTTATCCGGAAGTGGTACCATGCACACCAAAAAAGATGGAGTTTGCCAGAAATGGCCTATGAAGGCAGCTTTCATGCTATGTTGAATAATTATAAATAATGAGAGATTAAACTTGGATTTAACTTATTAAATTTCAACTACAGAACCTACTTAATTACGTATTTGGCATTCATTTTTCTCAATCTGCAAAATTCATAAAAAATTAAAACTATATTTTTATGGCTTATTTTATTACTACTTCCGTCCCATTTCGGATTACGAGACTTGACTTCTCATATTTAAAATAGTATTAACCATTAAAGTTTACATGCTTAAGGAGTGTTTGCTTTTGCTTCTACTTTTGAAAAGTGATTTATTTTAGATATTCTATGTAAATTTATTAATATGAGAAGTTATTAATAGTAAAAGTTGGTAGTGTTTATAAAGCAAAGTGATTTAAAAAAGTAAAAGTTAAGGTATTTGGTGAAAAAGGTACGTTTATAACAGAAAAATCGAAAAGCAGATTTAAACAGTTAAACACCCCTCCCTCCACTCTTTTAGCTTGAAACTGCTTAACTTTAAGCATAAGCACCTGTTTAAAAACACTACTTTAACTTGTTTAAAGCAAAAAATCTGAAAAACAATTTATTTAGCTCTTTTCAACATTCCTTTAGAAACCACATGTATTCCCGTATTTTACTCAAATAAATTCCCTTTTCAAAAAAAAAAATCCTTTAGAAACCATACTATAGCTTCTATTGAACCGTAAAACACAACTATAATAGGATAAAAGTTTTCATTTTCATTTTCATTTACCCCAGTGCCGCAAAGGCTCCCACCTACGGTGGGGTAAGGGGGGGTCGGATGTACGCAGTCTTACCCCTGTACTAAAGCACAGAGAGACTGTTTCCGGATGACCCATAGTGAAAATCCCGTCCAAAATTGCATGGACTGACTGCTGCTTCATAACAAAGAAGCGCAGATAGTTTAGTGAGCCATTTTGCTTTATTCCATCATAATCTCAAGCCAAAAAATAATGAATCTTTGGCTCCATTGCAAATGATGGAAAGAATAGGATAAAAGTTTGATACACAAAAATTAAAGAGTAAAAAGGAGTATGGTTGACTGCATGAATAGTGAAAAGGGGGTAAACAAATTGTGACGGAGGCAGTGTTACTTAAGGTCTATAAAGTTCAGGTCAGGTCAACACCTTTATGGCTATCAATGAAAGTTCTTTGTTGATATTGTATATGTAGGCATGGTTGCACAGGTTGGGAACAGACCAAGCTCATGACACCTGCCTATTTCATGAAAAGGATGATAGGTTTTCATTGGATCTTCTGGAATCTGAGAGCAAGAAATATCTATTTATATCTCCCGGGAGTAAAACTACAAGATTTGTTTTATATCTAGACGTTTCAAAACTTGGAGATGGGTTAGTCCTTTTGACACCACGAGTAAGCGGAGTTGAAACATATGTTAGTCACCGGGGAAATCATTTTTTTATCCAGAAAAGGAGTGATGAATGTTTTAACTCTGAATTGCTAGCATGCCCCGTGGAGGATGTATCAAAAACAACTGTCCTTCTTCCTCACCGGCCAAGGTATTACTTAATCATCCAACAGTTATGCTTAATCTAGTGATTACAGGCAGCAACTTCACTGTTATCTCTTAAGGGTTGTTTGATTTAGAAGAGGAAGTGTGAAGAGAGACTGAGAGAGAGAGAGAGAGAGAGAGGTGAGGAAGATAGTATAAAGAGATGAGAAGTAGAGTTGAAATTGTTTATATTGAAATCAAATAACCCTTAAGAGATAACAGTGAAGTTTTTTCCTGTAATCACTAGATTAAGCATAACTGCTGAAATCGTTTCACTATCAGTTTGTAAATTCTAAAGATGGGATTGTTTTTAGTCTATATCGAATAGTTTGTATTATTTTGAGCCATTTTTTCTTATTATAATTATTATGATAAAAATGATTAGTAGGTGCATGTATGCGTCTACACCCATTATAATTTATAATCATTATGGTCTTTTCTTTTGTTTCCCTTGTACTCATTTTTTGTCAAGAACTTCTTACCTTGTGAAGCCTCTCTCTGTCTTCATGATTTTTGGGTCTAAAAGTTCTGTCTTCTTTGCTAGATAACTTTTCTAGTGTACATATATATGAAAAACTACCGTTCTTGGTTACCACTACATTCACGATTTTCACATTTTCAGCAATTTGGTAATAATGTGTTCATCTGCAGCATAAAGATCCAAGACATTCAACTTTTTTGCAATCACATTGCTGTTTATGAGCGTGAAAAAGGTTTGCCCAAAATAACTGTGTATAACCTTCCTGCTGTTGGAGAGCCCTTTGAGAAACTTAAAGGTGGTCGAGCTGTTGATTTTATTGATCCAATATACTCCGTAGATCCATCAAAGTCACAATTTACATCCAGCATCCTAAGGTTTTCCTATAGCTCCCTCAAAACTCCTCCTTCTGTATATGACTATGACATGGACACTGGAATTTCTGTTTTGAAGAAGATTGACACGGTAAGTTATTAGTGTGGTTATGAATGTATTATGGCCACATGTTAAAATGATCTCGGCATGGGTTGCATTGTGGCATACACTTGATCCAGTTCCTTGCATTAGGTTAAGGTTTGTGTAGAAATAGTTTCAAACTTTCAGATTCATTAGTCGGGGCCTATGTCTCTGTAGAACTATTGCCATTGTCTGATTGTCAATAAACGAATTTTTCAAAATTATTTAACCTATATGCTTTTCATGGTATGAATTATCATTTCTTTAATTTCATTTAAAAAAAATTAGATGACAGTTGTTTGATCACCCTCTCAACCCAACCAAATGGAGTGTGAACAAAAAGGGATCACTTCTATTTCTCTTGAGTTTCCATGCTCCCTCATGATATTTTAGTTCATCATATGATTCAGGTATTGGAAGGCTTTGATTCATCAAACTATGTGACTGAACGGAAATGGGCTACTGCTTCAGATGGGGTTGAAATACCTATATCAATTGTTTATAATAAGAATCTTGTGAAGCTTGATGGTTCGGATCCTCTTCTTCTTTATGGTTATGGTTCTTATGAGGTATATTACACTCTTAGAATAGAAAATTTGCTACATGTTGAGTATTCGAGTGATTCAAGTTTATTTGATATTTTGGAAATACATGTTATGACATCAAGTTTTCTGAGTTCTCTTGAATGGGTACCTGAATCTTATTTCTGTATATTGAGGTCGGATTATGTGTCAAACTGTCAACTATATGAAGCCACAATTTTTTTAAAATCTTTAGAAGGGCTTCGATTATAATTTGTTTGAGGTATAACACACTACTCATAGCTGCTTTATCCAAATAACGGATGAGAACCTCAAATACTTCACAGGTTTGCATTGATCCATATTTCAAGGCAGCGAGACTTTCATTGTTGGACAGAGGGTTCATTTATACAATTGCTCATATTCGTGGGGGTGGTGAAATGGGAAGGCCGTGGTATGAAAATGGGAAACTGCTGAAGAAGAGAAATACTTTCAGAGATTTCATTTCCTGTGCAGAGTATTTGATTGGAAAGGGGTATTGTACCAAAGAAAAGCTATGCATTAATGGTAGAAGTGCAGGGGGGTTACTGATTGGTGCTTCAGTGAATATGCGTCCTGATTTATTTAAGGCAGCTGTAGCTGAAGTTCCTTTTCTGGATGTTTTAACCACGATGCTTGACCCAACTATTCCTCTTACAACTTCTGAGTGGGAGGTTTGCTTTTATCTTTATCTTTTACATCTTATCAACTTCTCAGCTGTTTCTATTTATTAGCCTATGCTGGCAATTTTCCTTGATTCTTTTTATTTGTCCATTAATGAAATCTGTGCATATTCTTTTTAATTATCTTTTACATCTTATCAACTATTCTTTTTATTAGCCGTTTTCTTTTGCTATTTTCCCCTTCTGATACCATTCAATATACCCCTTCCCCAAGAGAAACATAAATGCTAAGGTGGCTTTTAATAAATGGATTTTAGGTAAAGTGTCAATTTTTTTATTAATTTATCACTCCTATACAATTTCTTAAACTGTTTCTTTAGTGTTAGAAACAGATAGTTACATTTGTAGGTTTAGGCTAGGTTTGGGATACCAATAATTGTTTTTGGTTTCTTTTATTGTTGTTGCAGGAATGGGGGGATCCTCGTAAAGAAGAATATTATTTCTACATGAAGTCGTATTCTCCTGTTGATAATGTAATTGGTTGATAACAAGAGCTTCATCTAAAGTGCTTGATAATACTCCTCTGTCCTTCAAAAGTTTGTCATGTTTGACTCAGACATAGATGAATAGGATGCAAGCATAATCACAATTTCTTTTTCGAGGAGATAAATAATACAACAACATCCAAGCCTTAGTCCCAAAAGAATTCGGGGTCGGCTAACATGAATTGATCTATGATATCGATGCCTCCTATAACTTGATAAATAATATAAACCCAAAACTTGATGAAGTTTTGAGGGACAGGGGAGTACCTCCTATAAAGTTATGAGATTAAAACATGCTTTGATTGCCGTTGCTTATTCACGTGATGTTTTTTCCACAGGTAAAGGCACAAAACTACCCAGCAATTCTTGTTACAACTGCTTTAAATGGTAAGTGAATTTGTCCCTCAAACTTCAAAGTTCAAAAGAGGAATTTGAGATGACTAGTGCTTCAAACTTGCTTAAGCCTGCGTTATCATTTTGAGAATAGTGTCAGCTCCCCAGCTGGTCGTGCAGTTGAAGTTCATTAATACCAAATTAGATTTTTATAGCTGCATATATTTTGTCATAACCAAGGGCCACGGAACGGGGTTAAACTGTATCAGCTTGCAGCTCGTGTTTAATGCAAACTGCATTACAATTGTAGAATTATAGAACTCTTTGAATTGTTCTTGATTAGACAAGTGTAATAATGACTATGGATATCACTGAATTGAAGTTTTAATAGTATATGGGTCCCGGCTGTTCTAGTCATTTATTTACCTTCTAGTATAGAAACTTTAATGTGTGTTTTGGTTCTTTGTTATAGATACACGTGTTCTATATTCGGAACCAGCAAAGTTTGTAGCCAAGTTACGAGATAAGAAGACTGATGACAATATACTACTGTTCAGATGTGAATTCAGCGCTGGGCACTCTTCGAAATCGGGAAGGTATGATCTTCTAACTCACCCAGCACATGCAAGCTCGTGCGATAATTTGCTCTACAGCTTTGCTTTCCTAAATGGTCATCACCTTAGTTCCCACTATGTTAGAGTGTCTGACATTAAATTTGTTGTCAATTGAGGTTTTAAAATAGTTTTAAGTTTTAACTATAAGTCCTTAAAAAATATAGTGACCGAGGTTTACACCTGGTGTATTAAACAATTTAAGATTAATCGGAACCACAAGACTCTTCAACTTTGCTTGGACATATACTCAATTCCTTGGAATCACAGCTGTATTCCAATGTTTTGGATCGGAATTCCCAAGAATTTCCTAGTCTTGAAAGTCTTTGGCCCATTTGGTAAGTTGGTTGGGTCACATGATTGTCCTGCACTTTTGCTCGATCTTATTTTTCAAACTTGATTTCTTCTCACAAAAGCTACCTTGGGGATATTAACCTTCTTGAACTTAAACATCTGACATTTTCTATGTGTTTTGAAAGTAGTTTGTTGGATTGTGTTGAACTTCGTTTGCAGGGGTTTAAGTAACACTTTCTTACCCTTTCTCTACGGCTTTTTATGTGTTCTTTTATATGACTGAATATTGAATCAAACATTTGATTTTCAGATGGCAGAAACAAAAAAATTCCTGTTTCTCAATCATATTTTGAGCAAAGAGGACTTTGCTAGAATAAGTTAAACATGTCAATAAGGATGCTTGTACTTGGACTGAAATTTCTTGGTCTGGCCTAGTCGGTTTAAATCTTATTTGGTCTAGTCTGGTAGATGTTTGCTCTATGTGTACTTTACAACTGTCGAAGTTTGGTCCGGTTTGGGCTGTTTAAGTCTGGTCTGTTCCCGCTTGTTTAAGTCGGGTCTGTTCTCGTATGGTCAGGGACTAAAACCAGTCAAAGTAAAAACATCCTAAATCAAGTATTGCTACGAAACAGTGCTTTCAATTTCCGAAATTGGACGCATCTCATTCCCCTCCTATACCACGATTTTGCTCAAATCCCATGGGTTTGGTGAATTCTCACAGTTAAAACATGTTTTTATCTAATTCCAAGTCATTCTGATTCTTAGTAATTTAATGCTAACCATCAAGTCAATCCAAACCTGGCTTAAGAGTGATGTGACAGTGTACTTTTCCTTGTATCATTCCTCATTTTGGGTGCAGGTTTGAAAAGCTCAAGGAAGTTGCCTTTACATATGCTTTCATATTGAAGGCTTTAAACTGGATGCCTTCAACAATCGCCCAACCCAACTTATAAAGTTGCATTCAGTAATCACGGATACCTGTGCTCTTTGCCCACCATAGTACCCCAAGATGTATCCCTTTTGGCTTTTACTGAGCCCCGTTCAAATGAGTATTGGATAGGAAGTTGCATTTTATATGGTCAATCTTTGAGGGCATCATACTATCAGAGAAACAGAGGCGAGATGATAGTTTTATAGATTATTAGCTTATTTATCCTAAATTCTCGTCAAATTTACAAATCTATTATATTCTTTCACTTTTATCAAACTTCATATTTTTCATTGTTAAACTTAAAAGTAAAACTGAAAATAAATGAGAATGTACACGATTTAAAAGATTATGCTCTAAAAAATGTTTCACACATGTGGGCAATTGAACAAGGAGTCATAAGTTTGATTCTGATGGGAGCGTTTGATATTAGTCTGAAATTACTAGAAGGGAATAATGTAATAATTGTGTACTAATAATAATTGTAAAAAAGTCAATTTCAAACAATCAGTTAACACATCAAAATTTAATACTCCTTCCGTTCTTTATTATCTGTCCTCTTAGGCTTTGGCACGGGTTTTAAGAGGAAAATAATAGGGGTAGTGTAAATGTGTAATAGGTGTAGTGGGTTGTGGGTAAATGAAAAAGTAGGAAAGAGAAAGGGGTAATGGTAATAAAAGTGAGGGTATAAATGTATTTTGATTGAAAAACTTACCAAAAAAGGAAAGAGGGACAAATAATTAAAAACGTCTCAAAAAGGAATACGATACAGTTAATAAAGAACGGAGGGAATACTATTACTACCTTTCGTTTTTATTATGGACTATACTTGTCACCTAGGGATGGACTAAATCGGCCCGGCCCGGAACCGGACCGCTACTGTGCGGGCCCGGCCTGGACCGGGACCGGTTGGCCGGTTCCGGGCTTTTAGCCCGTTTGGGCGGGTCGGGCAGGCCAGGCTCAGGCCTAGTTTTGGGTGAACCGTCTCGGGCGGTTCGGGCCGGGCCCGGGTCAATTTTTTTTTCAATTTTTTTTCTTTTCCTAGGGTAGGGCTGGGCGAAAAGTTAAAAAAAAAAATTAGACATTGAACCGGGCTCGGCCCGGCCTGGCCCGGTTAGGCCCGGACCCGGTATCAACCCAGGCCGGTTCTGGGCCCAAGGATTTGCAAAAAAAGCCCGCCCGGGCCTGGCCCGGAACCGGCCCGGCCCGAGTCCATCCCTATTGTCACCTCTGGTCTCCAGTTAACATAGCACCTGTGATCCGACTATCACTTCATTGAGGAAACGACAACCATCGTTAGGGAATATATTTAAAGTTAAAATTGTTCTCAATTGTAATTTATAAATGTGTAATATTCTAAATCAATTTAGAGCTTGAAATAAATCTACATTTCATTTTTAATGTGTCGCATTTGCTATTTATTTTTAAAAAACCAGACAATGGCCTGGGCCGGATCTGGGACTGGCAGGGTACTCGAGACCAGACCGCCACGTGTAAAATGCTGGGTCAATGTCGGGCTACAACATCAACGGAATTGAGCTGACCGTGACACTAGGTCTACCCCTAAGTAGTACTAATACCCCGTATAATATTTACTAGTCACCATAGCTCACCATATGCTTGGACTCAGGCTGGTTCGGGCCTGATTCGGGCCTCCGGGTTATTACAGGTGGGCTAGGGACTCAGGCTGGTTCGGGCCGGGCCGAGCCTCTTTTTATTTTTTTTTCCTTTTCCTAATTAACCCCTCTCCCACCCCCAACTCTCCAAACCACCCCAAACCACCCCAAAATACCCAGGTCAACCCGAAAAGTTAAAAAAATTGAAAAAAAATTTGAAAAGCCCGGAACCGGGCCCGAACCAACCGGGCCGGTTTGGCTTTTGGGTGACCTGAGCCCGCACCGGGAACCCCCGGGCCTACCCGGACCGGTCACTGTCCGGGCCACCGGGCCGGTTTCGGGTCGGGCCTCACCATATTTAATACACTTTCAAGTTTCTTAGTAGGGTTAATTATCAAAATAGGACTAAAAGATGGTCACTTTGCACAAACAGGACCAAATAGTAAACTATGTTTTGATAGGACTAATTATGTGTGTGTAGGACAAATATACCGTTGTTTCTATTAAAATGTTTTAATTCATAATAAAATAATAAAAAATAATAAAAATTCGTAAAAAATACTAAAAAATTAATAAAAATATTTAAATAATAATATAAATTCATCATCATCATTATCCCAGTGGCGCAAAGGCTCCAACCTACGGTGGGTTAAGTGGGGGGTGTCAGATGTACACAGTTTTACCCATATACTTACTTACTACTTCATAACAAAGAAGTGCAGACCGTTTAGTGAGCCATTTTATTTTATTTCATCATTTTCTCAAACCAAAAAAATAGTGAATCTTTGGCTCCGTTGCAAATGATTGAAACTTAAAAAATGGTAAAAAACTAAAAAAATAATTAAAATTAAATAAAAACGCAAAAAAAAAATCACAGCCCCCTCTACCGCCCCAGCACCACCACCTTTGGTCACCGGTGGAAAAAATGCCACATGCATTAGGAATGTCATATTTAAGGCAGATTCAGTGAAAATTTTGGCATTCTCAAAGAGTAATATGCCATTTTTGGCATTTTCATAAAAAGTGGCATTTTTTTTAGACAAAATGGATATTTTTTACACCGATCGGAGGTGATGGAGCGCGCAGGGAGGCAGTACATGCGGTGGGAAAGACATCCATAATCTTTTAATTTTTTAATGGATTTTTAATATTTTTACTAATTTTATAAAAAATAATATAAACAATTCTTTTTATTTTTTATTTTATTAATTTTTATTATTTTTCTACGATTTTTATTATTTTTTACGAATTTATATGAATTGAAACATTTAATTATGACTTTTGATTACCTTTTACTCATATTTTAAGGAAGGGTAAGAATGTAATGAAAAAATAGGTATATTTTCAATAGGACTAATATGGTCATATTTTGGAATGAAACATAAGATGTCATATTTTTTATTTTTGCCATAGTTTTAGTCCTACTTGAGGTAATTTTTGTTCTTAGTACTCATATAATTTAATTGTTTTTTTTGACAAAAGATAACTTAATTATTATTAAGGAAAAATTGATTGTAATAATCCCAACTATTGGCAGTCCGCTCATAATAATCCCAACTATTGATTATTTCAGAATAATCCCAACTTTAGGGACCTTCTGCCAATAATGGTCCGACGTGACCGACTATAAATAAATTCTTATAGTTTCTAAAGAAATATAACAGGTAATCCCTATAAATAATCCCAAATTTTAATTTTTACGCTTAATTTCTATTAAAAATTCACTTGTTAGAGCAAGTAATATGTGGTCATGGACTATTATTGGTGGACGGTCCATATAATTGGGATTATACAAAAATAATCAATAGTTGGGATTATTGTTAGCGGACTGACAATAGTTGGGATTATTATTTTCAATTTTTTCTATTATTAATAACAAGTATCAGGTACAAGCTCACCATATGAAAGGCTACACTGAGATGAAACTCGGAGCTGGAGTCACACTTAACAACGGCCCAACTTGCTAATCCCGTAATGTGGTAGACTCCATTAACAACAATGATGCACCTGCTACGAGAAGGGAGAGCAAAAATATGTGAAGATTTATGAGAAAATAAGGAAAAATAATTAGAACAATATCCAGTTTTTCACGCCACTGATAAGGAAGAAGCGGTTTGACCAGCCCTTGCCAAAGGTTCCTCTTGCACATCACACAAATCCTCGATCACTGGTGGTGCTCTCCAGACAGCACCGCTACTGCAAGTTTTTTGGATTTGTATCATCAACGTCCATACTTACTTGAACACCCTTCTCGCTAACGAGTTCAATGACCATGTGTTTCCTTGGCTCTTCCTAAGTAATAGTAGCTTATTTTCTCTTCGAGAGAAGACCTTCCACCACATAGCTTCCCTGATCAATTATTGCTCTGCCCGAGGACCCCAAGATCTCCCCACCATCCCTTTTATCACTTGGCCGGTTATTGCTAGGAATCAGTCACATGTTCCCTCGGACTGTACACCACCTCGTCTCATATCTGCATGTAGTCATGAAGCATATGGCTTCTCTCTGATCCAGTAACCATTATGATGTGAATTAGATGGACATAAGCGATCAACATGGTCAAGTATCTCACATAAAAAGAAAAAATTCGGAAGACTCGTATTGAAAATCCGCTCATATCCAATTGTCTCCTTCCTGTCTAACCTGCAATCTCCGGGTCAATGCCATATATAATATATATATATATATATATATATATATATATAGAGAGAGAGAGAGAGAGAGAGAGAGAGAGAGAGATAGAGAGAGAGAGAGAGAAATGATCATGTCCGAACACTGTACGAACATCGCCATTTTGGGCACTTCCCGGTGAATTTTTTTTGATGAAATTTTTTGAGCATGTTCCTCATCAAGTCTAGTTTATCTATACCAAATTTCAGATCAAAATTTGATCAGGAAGGCAGTCAAATAATTCGTTGAAGTTAACTGCGCCAAGTTATACATAGAAAAACGCAGTAAACTGTAACGAATTATTTGTCTGCCTTCCCGATCGCATTTTGAGATGAAATTTGATATGGATAAACTTGACTTGATGAGGAACATGTTAAAAAATTTCATCAAAAAAATTCACCGGGAAGTGCCCCAAATGGCGATGTTCAGACGTTATGTGGACCGGGGGCTGCTGGACCCGAGAATTTCTATATATATAATATATCTTTGGTTATATAATAAGCGGCAAGTAATGTTACCAACTTAGAGCATCTCCAACAGGAACGTGAATTGCACTCTATAAAAATGGACACGTGTCGTAAATGAACAGTCTATTAAGCTGATGTGGATACACGGCTAGTTACAACCAAATTTCATCTCCAATGGAGTATTCTTCTCATATTTTGTGAACAAAAATATTTACTTTAATTACTATACATACCCAAAGCCTATACATAGACGACGTATTTAACCTGCCACTGCCGCCTAGAAATGATGTGCCACCGTATCACAACTCAAGAAAAAGGAAGATCACATGTTGTTTTCATTCAAATATGACTCAAATGCACGAAAAGCTAAAACGATTTTGAAACTCCAGATCAACACAAAAGCATAAATCAAGACATGAATTCGTATACACTTAACCGCTAAACACATACAGTTCTTCCTTGCCTCTTGAGAGCAGACCACATCGAGGAAGATCTTCAATATACCTCTGCCCTTTTCACAAATCAGATGGTCGTTTTCTGTCACGTTGCCGGAAAATAAAATGACTGAGAGAAAGTTGTCGGAGAAGAAGATCGTCGGAGAATAAAGGGGTTGCTCGAGCCCTGCCGCCTAGAGGAGTGCCGCCGTAACGCAATGGTTTGTCGGACGGTGCGAGATGATTGTCCCGTTTGATTACTATTGCAACTGGGTGCTGTGTTGCCACAAGGACCAAAGGGACGGAGTGCGCACTTTCGGATGGCTACTGAAACGTTGGGCATTATTATACGGAGTAAATGTTTCTGGCAAAAAATTATTGTAAAATAAATGTTATGCTGAGTTGGCTGTGAGACAGCCTTGCTAGAACTAGAAGGGGAGGTAGACGGTGTGTTGGTTTTTCCGCTCCAGCTCAGCACCACAGCCGGGATACATATTTCCATTAGAGAAGGCAATTTTACCATAATATGACGTGGCAATGCATTTATAATCAATCCATGTTACCATTAAAGATGCTCTTACCATGGTTCTTTTTCCGTCCAACTCATTTATTTTCCGTCCAATTTATTTCTTTTTCCATCCATCAGTCCAACTGCCCGTTTACAGGTTAACAAAAACGTCTTTTGGCTTGTTTGTGTCCATTCCTTCGGACTGCGTTTCTTCAACCCCGAAAGAACTTCCCATTCTGTTCCAAAAAAAAACTTCCCATTCCATTCCAGCACACTGCATACT